ATTTTTATGCCTCAAATCTGTTTGATTCAGCACTGGGAATGTAATTCTCATTCCAACACTAGCAGGGGTTTGTGTCGATGCCCATAAATGGTACAAAACAGCCATTGTGCTTCCTGCGACGTATTATATCGTTGGGTTCCTAATTTACAATATTTCTTATACTTTTTTACTATGTGTAATAAGTACTCAACCTATCATTTTCATTCCTTTATAATGTTTTCCACCCAATATTAAAGTAATAGACAAATAATTCAACGATCTCAAATTAATTATATTCTTCAGCTAATGAAATATTTGAAGAAACCTGAACTCATCGAAGAATCAAGATAAATGTAATAAAATCTCTTCAGACAAGAGAGAGGATATAGGATTCTTTCACGGAAAAAATGTACTTCCGATCATCGGATGGAATTTGAGCGCCGCAACTTTGATGACATCCAACTTTTGTTTCCTGCTCAGCTACAATCGGCGTGGATGCTGAGCGTTTTCTCTCATGAATACAATTTTATTTTACTCCATTTTACCAAAAGGTTCTAAATAAAAGAAACTGTTTACGTTACACTCCATAATACATTTACATTTAGCATGAACCAAACTAGGACCGAATTTTTGTCGAGGTTTAATTTTCTCGAACGATATATTAAGTAAATATATATACTTTCACTCCAATATATATGTATATATGAGAAATTGTGTTTCTAGAAAATATATTAAGAATCAAACTTGAAAATAATATTCTGTCTGATACCATTTTTCGCTTTTTTAACTGCAAACATCTATTTTGAGCGAAAATGTCTATAATTAAAACAATTGTATTTACTACTTTTGATTCCAAAATAGAGATATATTATCTGTGACTTAGTCTAAACCTGTTAACTTAATCGCTTACTCCAATTATCAGTAAAATCTGTTTCAACCTACGTTTTGTTTGCTTGTGCTAATAATACTTTGGTCATATCGATTGAAATCGAATTGGCAAATGTATTTTTTGTTTTTTAAACATTCTTAAAAATTCAGTATGATTTACTGTATTAGGAAAATTATTAAAAAATGTCAATGGGTTTCTTCTTGAAAAAATGTGTTAATTCGATCACAATTTTTTTGGCATAAAATAAATATTTTCTGGTGTCTTTTTTTTATTAATTTAGAATAAGACCTTCAATCTCTGGATTTAATACACAAGTCAAATGAATGTATTCTAGAACTGGATTTAAATGTAGCAAAATATATTTTTGGTTCTATCTAATGAGGATGCTTTAAGTCTACGTTTTGAAAGTTAATTTTACATGTATCATGAAAGTTAAGTTTACATGTACATGAAAGTTAATTTTAATTGTATCTTTGGAAAAGCTACTCCTACATATTTTATTCTTGAATTCATTTTAATTACCTGTCGTATATACTTTTCTAATATTTCTTCTAAAGCTTCTACTTGCTACAACGGACCGACGAATAGTTAAAACTGAACTCCACTGGTGGTATATAATTGTCTGGATAAGAATTATACGATGCAAAAATAAAGGTAATATTTCCATTATTTTAGAAAAAATGCTTTACATTTTAATAATACAAATGTTAATGCCTCTTCAGTAATTAGCAAACAAAGGGGATACACCACAATGAATAAATGAATACGTTAAAATGAAAATCGTGTCATTTAAACTGCGCGAGTTTATATAATTGAAAACATGTCAGTCAATTATAAATACAAATATTATATTGGATAAAATGGCATATCATCTCTGACAGATAATAAATTAAGAAATAATACGCTGTCGAGGATATGCAGAAGGAACACACATTTGCAAGTGAACAAATAAAAGACGTGCACGATATTTAACGAATAATTATTCTCAAGAACATTATTTGAAGGGAAGGTTGGGTTTAAGAGAGGGTTTTAAGAGAAACACGATTTTTAACACCAAGACTTTATTTCGAATTAAGTTGTCTTTAAACATGACACTGAAAAAAACAATAGAAACAAAAAATATATAACGATGCTGATAGTATCAGGCTTTCTACTGATATATTTTCTTATTTGTTTTGGGAGACTAAATATAAAAATGAGCTTATAATTATGTTTATTCATATTAGAAAGCCACTTAGCAGCTTAGAATGAGATGGCACATATTAATGTATAATTTAGTATTATTACTATACAATAGTATTTAGTTTTTCAATGTTTCAAGAACAAGCCGACTGCATTGCTTGTACTATGTTGTATGATATGTTTTTAGTTTCTCCGGCTACACATTACTTTTAACTTCTTTGCACACGAAAGAAATTGCTTCCCTTCATATTACATACGTTGTGCAAAAATGCATTGCAATGAAGTGTCTTCAATTGTTTTCACGGTCTAAATCATATTTCTGTGAACGCCTCTTCATTGATATCTTTCATGTGATGATATGATTCTTGTACCCTGTTATATTTTATTTTGACTGTGCAAAGTAATGTCTAGCATCCTTTCTCTAAACAAAGAACCCAAGGAACCAGGTAACGCATTTTGGTCGCATCAAATTACGTACGTAATGCTTTGTAATGATTCACCTATGATATATACAAAGTTCTCTATTAGTAATACTCTGCGGTTGCTTGTGAGCGGTAGTAGTTGTAGAACTTTCAGAACGACGTTTCGATGGCCTTCCTCATGTTTGTTGGAGATGGATGCAAGTTGCAATTTTTTCTTTTGCTATTTCATACGAATTAAACATTACGAATACCGTTAGCTGTATCACAGATCTCCTTCTGGCTCCCCATACAGTTTTATTAAAAATATTTTAGAGTTGGACGTTCAGAGTCCTTTTAAGTGCAGATGTTAACTCTACAAAATGAAACGAATTGGAGTGTAAATAGCCGTAACAAGTTATCAAGGGAGAAAACCCAGCGGTGATGCTTAGTAATCACAAATACTACTACCTATCTGATAAATATTATTGCTTATTCTTATCATGATCTATAGAATTTACAGTTTTCTTAATAGTATTAATACTGACTGTTTTGTACAAAGGAGTGTGCATTAGCACTTGCTTTTAAAGATAACATCATAATGAATTCCAGAAATTAACAGCATCCGCATCTCGTTACTGCAAACTATTCGAGTTTGGTTCGCCTGCTGGAAGCCTCGACTGATCGAAACGCCGTCTTAGTCGAAAGAGAGCGCGACCAGCGACGGGAAGTGCAGCCGTAGGCTGGCGGGAGGCAGCATGCGCCCGCGTGGAATGTTTTGACAACTCGCCCTCGCCCATCCAATCATTCAGTGACTAAAAGATGTATTTCTCTGGGAAGAATATGATTGCTATAATTCTCTCAATTTGTTTGAAACAGTAATTGTCCTAACTGAGTCAAAACGATTCAACTGTTAACGATATTTTAAACATTACTCTCCAGTATTGCTTCGTCATTAAAACTAGGCCAACTAAAGGTAAGAGACATCGGTAATATTTATTGGCCAAATTATTTATTACATTTTGTTGAAAAATTAATAATTTTTTATTTCATTATTCAAATGATCAATTTTTGAATCGTCTTTGGAAAAGTTATTTGAAATGATCGTAGTACAAATATAATAAAAATATCATACAAATTATCTAAAAAATATAATACAAAATACAGCAACCCACATGTGTCCTTCCCGTCGCAGACGTAGTCTCTCTAAAATAATGTTTTCAACATGTATTGCTGACTCAGGGCAGTGGAAACCACTATTGCCCAAAAAATTAACAAAGGGTTTATTACAAATAAACAACTTACTTGAGCTATCGTGAATTAACTTACAACATTGAAGTTTTGTGTATATCATATATACACGATATAAATATTATATACATTGTTCATAGCATTTTGATCCTGCTACTACACAACAGGTCTTCAAAGAAGCATATGTTTCATATTGCACTCGAGGGGGGCATCGTATGCGAGTTTAAGTTGCAGTATCTAATAACATGACCACTCACATTGCACTATAAACACTTCGCCCTCTATTGAAATCAATTACAAAATTTCTTCATTGTGCAAAAATTCAATGTCACAGATTAGATGACACTATAAGTCGTAATTCGTTCCTAATGGAGTTTTTCAACACTCACAACGGTAGGTTTTACACTTTCGAAGCACATTGCGCACACGTAGAGGAGCGAAGATTCTCACACTTGAAGTCGGTCGAAGTGATTGATCTGAGAGTGATAATTCAAACTGCTTTTTGCACAACGATGCTTCAGTCATTCCCCAGGACGTAAAAGTTTGATCATGGCTGAAAAAGTATGGGTCAGACTTATATCAGATCACCACGCAGCAAAACCGTCTTTATGATCCTCGAATTCGCATATTGCACATAGCTTCGAGTAGTTTGTTATGGATCTATCTCCAGTTTATCAACATGGCTTAAGAGACAGGGGTGCAGAAGTGTGGTTGTTCCGGCGGAACCTAGAAGTACTAGAGTTGGGTGCCGACTAGAGCAAGGACGTACTGGCTGTAAAGTGTTGCACGAAGGGTCTATGTACAACGGCGCCTCCGCGCCTCCGCGCACGCGCCGTGGCTGGCTTCTTCGTTGTGGATGAACCTGTGGTGGCAGCCGCCGCAGCGAAACAGCAGCCCCGCTTCACTCAGCCCTCATTCTCTCGCTCTCTCTTTCGCGTATTAATTCGGTAAGCAGTTATCTCTACTAAGCTACGCAGTGTACTGACTAGGACATCGCGAACCGCCCCGCCACGGACTGGCGGGCGGGCGGGCCGACTGCAGGGGGCGAGTCGGGGAATATGTACAGACGTAAGGCATGCTTCGCTGGGCGCGGCCGGGCCGGACCGGGCCTGGCCGGGTTGTGCCGGGGGTGGCGGCGGGGCGCGGTGTATAGCGCCGTGGGCGGCGCGTGTCGCCGCGAAGCACCGCGCGTCAGCCGGATCTGGCGTCCCGCAGGGGCGGGTGCCGGGGGCGGCTTAGATGCAGTGCTGTGGCAGCGGCGTGGAGGGGGGCGCGGCGAGCGGCCCCCCTCCGGCTACTTGTCAGTGTTGCGCCGCGAACTTCATGCGCTTCTGCTTCTGGCGTTGGTTGCAGAACCACACGCGCACCACGTTCTTCTTGAGGTCGAGCTTCTCCGCGATGGCGGCGATCTTCTCGCCCGAGGGCCGCGGCTGCACGGCGAAGTAGGCCTCGAGCGAGCGCTTCTCGGGCGCCGCGATGGACGTGCGCTTGCGCTTCTTCTCGCCCGCCGGCAGCACGCTGGGCGCGTCGGGGTCGCGCCGCTTGTTCTTCGCCTGCGCCTCGGCCTCCTCCAGCCACGCCTGCAGGATGGGCTTGAGCGCGATCATGTTGTTGTGGGAGAGCGTGAGCGATTCGAAGCGGCAGATGGTGGACTGCGAGAGCGCGCCCACGCCGGGCAGCTTGAGGTTGGCGAGCGCCTTGCCCACGTCGGCCTGCGTCACGCCCAGCTTGATGCGGCGCTGCTTGAAGCGCTCGGCGAAGGCCTCCAGCTCGCGCGGGTCGGTGTCGGAGTCCGGGTGCAGCCCCGCCGCTGCAGCCGCCGCCGCCGCCGCTGCCATGGCCGGGTGGTGCGCGGCCGGGTGCGCCGGGTGGTGCGGGCCGTGGTGGCCCGGCGGCCCGTGCGTGGAGAGCGGGCCGCCGTGGTGGTGGTGGTGATGGTGGCCGCCCATCATGCTGTTCATGGCGGCCGCCGTGGGGCCGTACACCGACGGGCCGTGCAGCTGAGGGTGGTGCGTGCCGTGTCCACCGCCGCTGCCGTCCGACATGGGCGCCAGCGTCGTCATGGTGGACGAGCTGATGGGGTCCAGCATGTCTAGGCCGTCCATGCCGTGGTGGCCCATCTGGAACACGCGCCAAACGGCGTTATGGGACTCTTCATTCGCAACGGTAGAGAACTAAAAGTAACAGATAGAATAATGTAAGGGAACAACAAAGGATGTAATGAGACATATTATGAATCGATTCTATTATTACTTATTGGTATCGGTTCTAGAATGTCATTATATATTCAAACGTTTTCATTCAGATCATTAGTATTAATGCAATAAAACTATAGAAAGAAGATTCTTATGATACAATAATGATAAATGTATCGAACTAGAGGGAGCATTCTAGAACAAAACTCATTTTTTTCCATTTGGTGACCGGTGGTTGTTGAGTCTAATGTTTGTACTGCAAACACATACTATCTTTTTTATTACAATTACCTAATTGTGCTTTTTAATATATTATTTATTCACAAGTCTTAAAGAAAGTGGCTGGAAGGGACGAAGATGCAGAGAGACGCTAACAAGGGGGCAGATAAGGGAATGGAGGAAGAGACGCGAAAGGAGAATGAGACGGAGTGCGGTTTGCCTCCTCGCGCCTCCTCACCCCCTTGCGAGCGCACGGCCTCGCGTCGACAACAGAGGCTACAAATGAACCTGGGGACCGGCCCATGCGTTTCCATTTGCACTCCCTCAATTGTTACAGCGCCCCCATCCTTCAGATGACCACTTTACGCCAATGCGCGCCGGGCGGCGGGGCGGCGGAGCGGGGGCGGCCGCCGTCGCGCCGGGACGACGGCGCGGCGGCGGGGCGGAGGGAGGGGCGGCAGCGGGGACGGCGCGCTGTGTCGGCGGTGGCAGTAACGCCGGTAATGATGAAATATCTCGCCTCTGGGAGAGCGACTCCTGCGTTCCGTACTTGGGGGTGAATCATGGGAGCGTCCCACCCCTCCGGCGCCGGCCGCCGCCTGCTCCGGCCCCGCCGCCACCGCCGCCGCCGCCGCCAGTCGATGTATTTATAGCGTTCCGAGTCGTTTTCCGGGTTTTCGAGGTTGTCGATTATCTCGTTATCTGACTTATAGAGGACGGGCCCCAGTGCGTGTCATTGGTTATATTTGTATTTATTTGCGCGTCGTATTTATTGCGGAGGGCTCCGGCTGGCTCGCGGCGGCCGGAGGGGGAGCTCCGTTTGAGCAGCCGTCGCGCACCCGCGCTGCCCGGCGCCGCTCAGGGGAGAAATACCGCACGAAAAATGACGCCGGCCGCCGGAGGGATGATGTTCTACACGTGGAATGTCACGAACGGGTCTACTCGCCGATTCCCACTGCCCTGACTCAACGAATTACGATTGTGGTTCTCGGAAATTTGGAAATGATTGTAAATATGTTGTAATGTTGCAGTGTTTGAGCTGTTTATATTTTATTGCTTGTGGAGGATTGTGTTAGGAAGACAGTGTCTTCGTCATTTATTTCTTTTTATTAAATATGCATTTAGAATACAAAATTTCAGATATGGAAGACTGATGTGCTCAAAACAGGAATTAAAGAAAGACAAAAAATTAAGGAATATTAATTAAAAATGTTTGGGTGCAATAGAATTATCTCTTAAAAATTATTTCCAGGATTATATACGCCTGTATTGTGTTCATCAGTACACCATAAAATAGTTCGTATAAAAGAATTAAATCATGTTCGTTTTTGTCATGCAATCACGTAGGAAAATTAAATAGAGAGAGAAAGAAAAATCAACCACAGTAGAATTGCAAAATTCTAAAACAATTTCATTTTTTCTACAGTAAAAACAATTAGTCAAATTTAAGCGCAATGATTTAATTAATTTATAACTCATAACTTTGTATTCAAACTATTTACATTATTTCATTTTAATTCACTTCTATTTACTTTCTAACATTTGAAAATCATGCTGTTAATTATCATTCAATATTTCATTATGATATTTATTTATACATGCGCGGTAAAAATTAATGAAACATGGACAGTATTTCTTTCACAGTTTAACTTGTTGCATATTTCAAGCACTTTTATACTTTGAAAGTTCTTATAATTTCATATTTAATGTTTTTTAGTTTTGCATTACTAATCATGAATATTAAAATTCTTCCCGTTTCTTAACCATAATAAACCAAACTAAGAAACTTAATGCTCTTTTACCGCTAGCATTAATTGAACAATTTCTTTACATTGAAAATAGAAAAAACGATGGGCTAAACGATGTTTTGAAAATGATTGGTTGATTTTGGTTGGCAAATTTCAATATTTTAATGGAAAATGAGACTCGTTGACACATTAAAATTTAAAAAAAATCATAAAAATACTAATGAGAAATAAAATATTTCAGTGACAGGACAAAACTCTTCGTAGTTGCTAATAGCATATTGAGATATTCTCGGAAATATTAGTCTGTTAATGGGTAGAGTTAGTTAAGTCAATCTGGACATAATGACTCCTGAAGTTCTTGTTTGAATCTTGTGTATATGGTTGAAATGTAACAAGGATCCAGCCAAGTATCAAGAGCTAACTGAAATGCAGCAAAGTGTCCTGTGACTCCGGCCGGAGAAGGATACGAATACATCTTTTTACTTTATTTATTTCAGTATTTTTGTCATACCTCGCGTTTTATTGAATCGGTATCTATTTTTTGGTAAGTGAAATACGATCGCATTCCTCTCCTACAATCTTGAGTTCTCACAATTTACAGTTTCTAAATGTAAACTATTATTGGTCACTTCATGTGAAAATTGTTTATAACTGAAATTAAGCGTAAATATTCCATAGAATACCTATATGGTTATCTAATATCCATATAATAACTAATTTTACTTCAGTATCTGCACCAGAGATCGTTACCAGGTAGTCGTTTCGTTTGTTCCAGGAAAGTTAAGAAAATTAAGGAAAGAGAAGAAGTGTCCCTCTTTTACTTGTGTAACTATGAGTAAGGTAGCTTATGTTGTTTTCTTAAACAAATATATTATGTATTATGTATAATTGAGTAAATGTTTAAAATGTAATTAAATTATCAATCCTCCAAATTCTTGTATAAATTCTCAAAAACTACCAATCTGCATCAAAAAATATATTCATTGGTTTTCATGCACTCATATCAAATTTGACCATTTTTTTTTAAGTATCAACCATATTTATAGTTCTTATTTACATAAGAACCCATTATTTGTTACTATACAGTCGGTTAATCATAAACTGATTCAGTATTAATGAATTTAGCTTAGTTCAATTTAGTTAGTTCGTTTGTGGAGAAAAGTATTATATTTCTCGGAACAGTAGTATACATTCGACAATACCGTTTTTCACAGTTTTTGATGGCAAATAAAAAAAATAGTTGGCGTATCTGTAGTGTCTATAGCTTAGAATACGATACAGAGAGTAGTAATTTCCTTTGCAGCGCCAATTCCGGATTTTTATATCCACAGTAGTCAGCGGAGTTCGAACTCTCGTGACGCAGATGCCGTGAACGTTCTCATGACAAAGTTGGTGGCATTAATCTGTATTCATAATTATCTATACATATAGTATTAGTTATATTTATGCAATAATAAAATAATTGGATAATTTTACTGATCAGTAACGTTACACTTATTACCCTACACTGTAAACTACACTAATATTTACTAATCAGTGGTGGATGTGAGATTGTGGAAATTTAGCTCTCAGCTCGGAACTTCTTCCATTTCCACCCAAACTTTCGTGCAAAATCTCTTTCTCGACTTCATGATAGCGATATTGCTGCCGATTGCCATGCCGCTTGGCCGTGCACAAAGTGCGGCCGAGGCTCACCTGGTGCGGGCGGGTGTTGGCGGCGCCCGGGTGCGGGGCGCCCATGCCGTGGTGGTACATCATGTCGTGCTTGAGCTGCGGCAGGCCGGGCGTGGAGCTGGCCTGGTGCTTGCCGATGTCCACGGCCGCCAGCGCCTCGGCGCGGCTCAGCAGCCCGTCGTTCAGCCCCGAGAAGAGGTCGCCCTGCAACACACGCGCGCCGCTCGTCACTCGATGCGCCACACGGCCACGACTGCTCACTCCGCGCTCAGTCTCGGGGGTTGATTCCTCAAGAATAGATGGCTAATTGCACTTTAGGCACAACAGTGAAATGTTTTCAGCCATCCTATTGCTATTAGGTTACATTAAATCTATCTTCCTCTTTGAAACTAACAACTGGGACTATCAAGTATGTGACGCGCCTATTTAAATTTCATGAAAAAAAACCTTTTAATTTGACAATTAAAAAAACCCTCATTGAATACATCTGTTTACATAGATGAATTAAATCATTCACCGATGCAGTGTTTAACTCGTAATTGGATTTTAACTGGTGCAAATTTTGAGCTAAATTTATAGAAAAAAAAGGAGAAGTACAAGAAAAAGAAAACGCATTCAAACACACAAAAGCAATGCATGCACCATGCGGTAATAATTTTCAGAAGAGAGAAAACAAGGAATGCCTTAAAGTAAAAAAGGCATGTAAGGTTACGAATCTCAGTAATGAACGCAAATACGTTAGCGCATTTAGAAATGTTTCCTCATATCAATTTTTCAAACTTTCAAGTTTTAAGTGCTAAAAGAACGTGCCAAAATATGAGTTGAGAGCGTTTTGTAAATTCAGTGATGGCATTTATGGCATATTCAATATTACTTAAATGATTGTGACAATTTACCATCCTGTTTTTCCGGCTTCGGTATCTCTCCCGATGTACGCTAAGCAAGGTTTCTTTGAATCAGTCCAGAGCAACAAAAGCAACGGGCTAGCGATTCTGGCCTATCCGCACGTCGGGAATGCATTTCATCCCCGACCGACGCGCACGACTCAAAGAACATTTGACAATCGGGCGCGCCGTGGGACACTAGCGCGCTGAGTGCTGAACGAGGAAACCCTGTCGATCGCGGAAGTTCCGCGCGCGCGTCCCGGAGCGCGCGTCCGCCCCATGGCCCGCACGGCCCTCATTACGCGGCGGGGCCATCTTGGCGGCGCGGCAGCCGCGCGCGCTTTACGAGTGCGGTAATAGCCGACAAGTGCGCGCAAAGTGCCGCGTGCACATTACCAAGCAATAAAGGCGAGGAGGCGCGGGCGAGCACGCGCACGGGAACGGCAGAACCAGCTGCGAACCCTCGCGCTTCGAAACAACTCACGGGGTGACTGTTCAAATTATCGTGTGACGGTTTGTGAGTGGATTAGCTGTAGTTTGGAAGAGAACTTTCTGATTTACTAATACAGAGTTCGTAAATGAGTGGAGCAGTGGGAAACGGACAAGAAATTATGAGTTTTTCAATTTGAACGCAGAATTCTTTCTGATCATCGCTATTTCTATTTATTGTCATAAAATAGTCGTAAAACAGGATAACACCGGACTAAATTTGGCCATCCATTGGTTTGCATGTAGTCACCAATCTTAAATGAGCTTTATCTCAAAACTGCACGAGTATGCCTTACCTATAATGGTCTGAGCCCTTCAAATATTAAAATTTTAACTTCTATGGCTAGTTTAACATGAATAACATTTTGCTTGAAGGTGGGGTGAATGTTGGGTGCAATACTTAAAAAATGATTCATTCATCACCCCGTTGATGTAAGAGCAAGGTAATGAAATAAAAAAATGATCCCTCAACTATATTTTCACGGCAATTGGTTTAAGACTGATTCGTATACTAAGAATTTTTATAAATAATTTGATTACGACGACTATAATAAAATTGCTTTGCAAACGCTCTAACTCACCTTTCACCATCTTTCGTGTGTTCTTAGAGTTGAGTGATACACATGCATGAACGCATTGATACTCAACATTCCTAAATGCTTTGTTGTTTTTCATTTCTAAAAAAGTGTGATTGCCAGTTACGATTAATGATTATATTAACGGGATGTAGTACGAGTATATTATTCCTTGTCTACGGTCAAGTTATTTTTAATTAATTTTATTGCATTTTGTTCCTTAATGTTTCACTCATTTCTGTGCTTGATTTATTTAATCCTTTTACTGCTTTCACGAGCTGTGTATGGTTCATTCATTCATAACGCCAGCCAGATGATATTTTGCTTGGTGCACCACGTGTCGGCCAAGCGGCGCGACTTCTTTCAGCTTTGCAAGGGCCCGACGGCGAGGGGCGCTATTCACAACTCGCTGCAGACGGAGCCACGCCAACAGTTTAAAAAGTAGTTGACGGCGGACTTGGAAACTTCTGAAACGTGCGACTACTTGCCTCGGCGCCCCGTCGCGCTCCGCCCGCGGCGCCCCGCCCCGCCCCACTCTCCTCCTCCTGCCCTCCCCGCCCTACCACACCCCCGCTCGTCCTGCTCCTCGCCCATCCCCCTCCCCGTCCAGTTATACAGAGACCCTGGCCAAGTTACCAAGTTACTCCTTAAATTATTTATGAACCAACGTCTTCTCTTCTGTAAACTTGGAAACGTCCACCTTGCCGTCGGGCTTCTGCCGCTCTTTAAAAATTTTCTATTCTTTCTATTATTTACTCTTATTAGAGACAAGAAAATGCTGCTGAATGAACTCATTTAACCCTTTTTCCGAATAAAAGAAATATGCGTCTTCAAATTTTTTATGCAAATTGGTGTGTCTCTACTCATGCCTGTATTATCACTAATAAGTAATGAACCGTTTACTGGAGGGAAACCTGTAATTTTTTCCTTCGACTTTTATTTCGTAGGCAATAAACTGTCCAATTTATTCATTTTAATATTGAATTACATGAAATTATATTTTGTTGTAGGGTTTAGCTGCATTTTTAATGTTGTCTGGGATTAAGCATTCGCATATTGATATGTTATTGTGATTAAGTAGTTTTGCATAACAACGTTTTCAGAATCACATAACAATCGCGACGGTAAACCCAGACAAATGCAAGTAAGGAATAAGAAATACTACAGATACTCAGAACAATCGAATAACATTAAGATCTAGTTGTTACATCTCCTTAAATCGTCATTTCAATCTCTTCATCCGACTACTGAATCCAAAGAAAAGCCACGTATCTTGAGCACAAATATTCATTTATGAATTTTGTTTCAAATATTCTAGCTATCTAATGTACAGAAGATGTTATGTATTTAATCATCAAATCAAAAGCTATTGTCAATTACAATGAATATTTCGATTTCTCCCTTTGTCCAACGCCAAGTATATTCACTTCACCCAGGGGTCATTTGTATGACCGGAACTTGCGGCAGCTCTATGTCGCGTCAGGGACACTAAGAACGGAGGATATGACTGAAGTATGAACGGGTATAGATGCGTCATTGACTTCACACGATTCCTCTTCCGTTGGTCACGCAGCATCAACATTTCCACCTTCCAGCGACGAAACTCTGCCGCGATAATAGCCACGCTCATGTTGTGTCTAGCACTATCGCCATCCCTAGCTCATCAACCGCTTCTGTTGTCAAAGTCACTGTCTCCCGTCATCGTCATCGCGATCGCCGTCCCCACCAACGCTTGATCCATCCCCGCGGCCCCCATCCCGCCCCACCCCACCCGCCTCCTCGCCCAGCCCTTCGCGGGCGTGGCCCACGGGCAATCTTGGGCGGCGAGTTTGCGCGGCGGGGGAGGGAGGCGCTCAATATTTAAGGCAGCGGCGCTCCCCCGCCGGGGCGCCGACGCCTCCTCCGGGACGCCTCTTTCCTCCCGCCCTCCGCCCCAGCCTCGCCACGCACGGCGCCACCCGGCGGCGTCGACGCCGGCGGCCGCCCCGCGAGGCGCGGCCCCCCCGCCACAGCGCCGCCGGGCCCAAGGTGCGCCGGGGCCCCTCTTTTTGCTGGCGGCAGGGCGTCCCGTCCCACGTGCAGAACGCATTTCCACACGCTCGCGTCACGATAGGGTTACTTTGCAGAACGCTTGTGCCACTTTCCCTGATGAAAACAGTATACTTCAGACGAAATACGTCATTATTTCTACGCACTTGGTTTTTCACAAAATAAATGCAATAACACTTAATCATAGTTCGGAGTAGTGTGTTACGTCTTAAGCGTAAATGGCTTTGCTAGAGGTACACAAATAACTGTGGCACTCAACCATCTTCACCTCGGAGCAGCACACAGCATCGCTCCACGTGACCGCAGTCCACTCAAAGGCATAAAGTCCTGCAGGCTTCGTCAACTAAGTGCCTCGAGCCTCGCGAGCCGGCTCGCCTTGCACCGTCACGGCGCAAGTTTTGTGCACAAGCACGAGGTTCTCCCACTGTCTACAGAACCCACCCACTGGCTTCTGACCTCTGTTATATAGGCCGAGGCCCACGGTGCGCTAACTACGTCACGCCACCCCCTCGCTTGTTATAACAGTGAAAAGTTTTTCTATACGGCCGGATACTCCAAAGCTTGTGTTCCCCGTTTCCGGCTTCTTCCTTTACGGAAAAACCCTACTTCCTGTGGCTAGGCTAATCCTCTTCCAGCGTCCAAATAGATTGCATGAGGCACGCTGGCTAATACGTTACAATGTGCAATAGACCGCATTACGTGTCGAATAGCATGAATAGTTATATAATTCGGGTAACTTTCGATATAAATAATTGTAAAAATGTCCCGCCTTGCTTCGTTGGTGAGGATGGATTGGTGAACGGAGTGTAAGGTTGATGTTAAAGAGCTCAGACCCACATCATATCTGAAAACGTATATTAAGTTTAATGTAGCTGATAGATGACATCATAATCAGGCTCTCTGGTGTGATCTATATCACACAAGTGTAGTAACGTCGAGCGTATAATTTTACCATTCTTAATGATGAATCGCTGTAAAGCTCTCTTTCTAAAAAACATTGTCTAAAATGTCCCAATTAGATAATTAGTAAAGGGTGGAAATGCGTTGCCAGAACGGCCTTGTTCATTGTTATTTTTTGAGACCTCAAGTTTTCATGAACGTCAAAGAAAGGCAATTAATTGACTAACGTAATACCGATCAATATTTACGAAAAGGATTTTCTTAGTCTTTGTCGTCTGTAAGAGATTGGTCGATATCTTAAAACTACACACTTGGACGAGTGGATCGACTAAAAACTCGTAATTGTTCTTTAGTATTAAAGCATCACACATTTTAGTTTTCATACCACGGAATGAAATGTCTTTTTGGCTGTCAAAAACTCCTGACGGGTCTTCATAACATGTCATACGACTGTGCCACTCACCAACTAAGTAACACGTAAATTGATATCGCTGCTTTATGTTTCGAGAATTCAATCGCCCTTTTACCATTCATATCATTTCCATCCGTCGATCAATGTGGAATTTGGTGGTAGCCAAGAATAGTTTATCATGGTTTGTCGGGGTTCTTTTTTGTTTGAGGCCCAAGAGGATTCGCCGCAGATTTTCTCGGGATTCTCCGTTTCTCTTGCCTCCTGATTCCAGCATTGCTCCATTAGTTTCTGTAATCTACAACAATCTACTCACCCCAATCATTAACCTATTTTACAAGTATGGCCGTACGGAGTAGGGCCTAGTATTATAAATAAAAAATAGTTAATTTCGTATCACGAAATGAAACAACACGCCTCTGACTGGCCTAAGTGCCTTCACATGCAGCTCATTAGAGTGCAACTCAGCCGAAACGCAGCCTGATCCGCGTAAATTGATATTGCGGCGTCTGAATATCCGAGAATATCGCTCTTTTATTTTGGTGTATCACGGGCTGAAGTGCAGTTGGCTTGACTGGCCGTTGATTCGGGCAGCGCCGGCGGTGCAGCCCCTGGCACGGGAGCGTTGTCGCGGAAGCGTCGCGGCTGTGCCTCACCGGCGCGCGCGTCTCCGCTGCGGTGCGGGGCGAGGGGGCAGGCGCGTCGGAGGAGCCCTTGTCAATAGCCAGGGCAAACACGGCGGAGGCGCCGCGGGCAGGAGGAGGGCGCGTGGGCGGCGAGGGCGGGCGAGGGTGCGCGGATGAAGCGGGCGACGCCTCGCCTCCCGCGCCCTCCCCACCAGCCCGCCACCGCTCCACCGACGAGCAACCTGCCGCCACTGCCGCCCGCCCCGCCCCGTCCACGCCCTCGTCCTCGCCTCCTCCTCCTATCATAGCTCTCCCATCAACCGCCAGTGGATTGCTGCCTACCTGCCCGTGCACCTCCAACCCCAACCTCCCGAAGGTTTTTGAATTTGTTCTTTCACGTAGTTCAGTTTAAAATACTATTGGTATGGAATTACTTACAATTTAATACCTTCTCTTAGAGGTAATACTATAAAGATTGGACAAGCCCGTTGACATCTCGCATTTTCATTTCTAATTGAGCAAAGAATTTTAGCAATGGGTAGTGTGTATATTTATTTATATTGCGAAGAGATGTACTATGGTATCGTTACACTGATTGAAAATGATTAGGTATTCAATTAATATCATTTTTGATCGCTGAAGTTTGTTTAAAGTTTGTATGATTTAATTATGCCCTGTTTTCAGTTCATTTTAGTGTTCATGTGCATTGTGGGTTTACGTGAGGGATTTCAGGGAATTGGCTAATTATTTAATGTTAGTGTGGTTGGAGGCGTGTATGGCCTTAATGAGAAAAGTTTGTGGATATATTTTATTTGGATTGAATTTCAATTTAGATACATTGCTGTCAATTAGATTTACTCATAGTTTTTTTGTTGTTTCGGCTATGATGAATAAGTACTTAGATTCGTTCCTGCAAATATACCCAGCTGTCCCGTTATCACCCTCTCAAAAGTTCTCACTACACCGGCTGAGTAGGCTCATGGAATCAACTGATTTACCAAAGTACCTCCGACTACGGTCCTGGAGTTTGATTCCCGCTCATCTCTTGCGCGCACTACACTCCCGCGCATGCCGGGAGGCCAGTCAAAAGCTTAGGGCTCGTCGTGGCTGCGGCGG